ACATACTCTTTCATAAGTCCTAGATTTTATCAGCCCTAATAATCACATTCTCCACTTCACTGCAGATAAACACAAACCAAATTCTCACTCAAAACTACCCTACCTTTAAAATCACAGATGCTTCCAATTTCCCCTTCACAACACAAGTCCCGACTCTTATGTCTTCCTCCCATAATAACCCAGTGTCCTTGACTCCTTTCTTTCATTCTAGTCTGTCATCACCATTCTGGCTTCACTTGACTCCCTACTCCACCTTGACTCCACGGTCACTCATATCATTGGCATCTTTGATGATAAACAATAACAAATTGACAAACTGTCAAACACAAATGGATCCTACTAACTGCGTTCCTGGTTCTGGTCCTGGCTTGCCTACCCTTGCTGAGTTGGTCAGTTTCACCTCACGATAATGCTATCCAACCAACCGTGAACCCCAGTACTATTCCAAAATCTTTGTATTCCCTCTTCCTTGCATCCTTTCCCTTTCATCATGTGCCTTTTNGTGAATAGGGATAATAATGCCCACCTTATGGTGACATAGAAATAAGTGAATAAGTTAATGTTGGAAAACACTTAGTATAGCTCCTTAGTACAGTAAGGTACAGTCAGAGTATGGTAACTATTAGCATTATCACTATAGTTAATATTCTTATCATTATTATATCATCATTATTATTGATGTTCCTCCACATTCTGATCACCACAGTCCAGACACTTGTTAGATCCCTTCTTTGACACCTGGATCTCATTTATTTTCCTCACCACATCCTTAACCACTATTTTAATGGATTCAACATTGATATTGATGAGACATCAAACATACTCTTTCATAAGTCCTAGATTTTATCAGCCCTAATAATCACATTCTCCACTTCACTACAGATAAACACAAACCAAATTCTCACTCAAAACTACCCTACCTTTAAAATCACAGATGCTTCCAATTTCCCCTCACAACACAAGTCCCGACTCTTATGTCTTCCTCCCATAATAACCCAGTGTCCTTGACTCC